TTATTCAATTATATCGTTGCATAGATAAATTATAGATTTTTATTTTCTTATTATTAAAAACAATTTTGATCAAGACATACAATCAAAGTTTCGAAGAGTTGACTTGAATGATTAGACAAAACATAATTTTGTTAACAAGTTTATTATTGATTCAAATTGTAAAAATTATTTAACTCATTTCTAAAGGATAGCAATCAGCTTTAAACAGTTTTGAAGTTTTTAATGTCCTAGTTTTTGAACAATTTTGTTTATTTTATTTTACAAGTTTTATTGAATTTCTTCCGTGGCTTTTTCCAATAATTTGTTTATTATTCAAGTCAACCACATTTGTTTTTGTCTCGATTAATTGCAAAGGTTTCACATGTTTTATCAAGTCATATAAATAATTTTGATTCGATTAATATCATTTCATTTCATCGATTAATTAAATAATTCTCTTGAATAATTTTTTTTTCTAAGTCCAAATTTTGTGATTATAATTCTTTCGAATAATTTTTGTTTTTCTAAGTCTTCTCAGATATTTTTTTTTCTAAGTCCAAATTTTCTGATTAAAATTCTTTCAAAGAATTTTTTTTTCTAAGTCCAAATTTTGTTGAAACCTTTTCAATTAAGACAGACGAGTTATTTATGCATGCTGTATTATCCCAAAGCCAACATTCGAATGAATGAGGCTCACATTGAATATTTCACAACGAGAAAATTTTATTGGGACAAAGTTAAAAATTTTAACTAAGTCCCAGTAATTTTTTCTCGTTGTGAAAATTTCAATGTGGACTTCATTCATTCGAGTGTTGGTTTGGGAATTGGTGTGAGGGAACACTAAAAAACATAAAAAAGTTTCAACGCTGAACAGAAAAGAGAAAAATTGATCTGGGACTTAGGGGGTTTTTTTTAGGTTCTCCACCTCCCCCTTCCTCCTCCTCCTCCTCTTTTTCCTTTTTTCCGCTTTTTTTCACATTTTTTTCCTTTTTTGGTGTTGTTTTTTTTCGCATGTTGTGGTTTTTTTTGGGTAGATTTCTGGGTTCGGCATGCATCTTCCGCAATGTGTCCCTCTGCGTGTAACCTCTCGCATCATGGACCTCAGGTTGACCATCACTTCGTGTGTTCGTTTCAGGACCCTTTGCGCTCGCCAACAGCCACTCACCAGCACTGCTCCATTTTTTCTGCTTCCGAGTTGCTCGTCGTCGCCTTCAGCTGGACTCGATCCGTCTCACCTTGTGCCTGCCTCCAGAGCGATTTCACCGAGTATGCGGTCACTTAAACCGCTCGGCTATTTAAGTTATTGATGATAAAAGTTATTTTTATTCCTATATTGTATTAATATTGAATTTTAATAAAGAATATGTATCATACTCATCTCTCTTATTCATCATCTGCCTCTACCCCTCTCTTTCCCCAGTTCTTCCTCTACTTTTTTTTTTTTTCTCTTTATGTATCTCTCTTACAGTCAAGTGCGAACCTTGAATTTTTCAGAAAATTTTTCAGAAAGTGTCAAGGTCGAAATGCGCCACCTGAATTCAATATTTTGAACTAATACACTCTCTGTTACAGTCAAGTGCGGAACTTGAGTTTTTTGTTTTCAGAAATATTCTAAGTGTCAAGGTCGAAATGCGACCTCTGAATTTAATATTTTGAACTAATATTTGATAATTCCGAAAAACTAGGATTCCAATTTTTCATCCGAGTCTTTGGGAATCGATCTGAAGAACTTTTAGTCAGTCAACGTGATGTCGACGACTAAACGCTCTCGGCTATTCGATTGTTATAGAAGACGAATTTTTTTGGAAACGCTTTTGTCTAAATCAGGAAGAACTGTTAAAGTTTGACAGCTCCAAGTATTTTGTAAAGACCTTTGCATCGGGCGCTCCACACTAGTTATTTAAATTTAATCAATCCGCCATCTGAATTTAATTTTATGAACTAACATCTGATAGTTTCGAAAAACTTTACAACAGTTATTTTTCATCTACATATAATTCTTCTGGGATCGATCCCACGCACTCCCAACTTCCACGACGACCACTTAACGCTCTTGGCTATCAGTCGTTTCAGAAATAAAACGTTTTAATGAGAATATCTTTGTCTATTACGAGGGTTTAAAGATTTGGTGGTTATTTGGTGGAACTTGCACACTTCTACACATTCCAATGCAACTACATTTTATCTGTTATTTGAAGATTCGAACTACAGCGCCATTGGTCTGGATAACCGCTGTTGCTATTTAACGACCTCAGCTATTCATTTCAATCAAAAGCGGGAAGAAATTAATGGGAAAGTCTTTTGTCTAGTTTGAGGTACTGAACTTTATGAAAAATAATTAAAATTCTATTCAATTCTCTTGCAGAAGATTCGAACTACAGAGTGCATCACCGGACAACTGCTACTAAACGACCTTGTCCACGTAGTTGTTACACAAAACATGTGTTTGAGTTCTCATAACGACTTCTATTTTGTCTTTGATATCTTATTAATTATCCAACCACAACTCATCGGTTATTTTCTCACAGCTCCATTCAAGTACACTGAGGGACGAACGATATGCATTGAGATCAGTTATCACATCATCATGATTAGGATTCGAACTGGATCACCCTGGACTCGATGATATTAGCGAAGTCTTTTAGCCGATTCAGCTACCGAGATGCAAAATGGCCGTCGACTATATGGGAGGACACTCAGAATGGATTTCTGGCCAATATGGGGTTGAAAAAAGACTAGAAGAAGTAAAAGTTGCCGAAGGGGTTGCAAAATGATGGCATACGATTCTTCATGACTGTACGGATTTCGAGCGGGGGGTTCCAGGGGGGAGAATTTTGTCCGTTTTTTGCTCAGAACACCCCAAAATGATGATTTTAAAATTACACATATAATTGGGGTTGTTCAAACCCTAATGTTCTCTTTTATAGTAATTAGAATGTAAATTACATGTACAGTTAGCAATTATTGAATAAATAGTTTATGAATATAATAATTAAATAGTTAAAATTGATTTTTATACAATATATAAATTAATTGAGTATGTTTGAGCTTATAAAAATTAGACCTAAAATTATTATTATTGTTATAATATGTATTAAATATATATTTGCTTAATATTTAATATTTTGTAAACTAATGCTATGTTGATTTAAATAAATATATAAATTAAAATGCATGAATTTCTTTTATTTATATTTTGTATATTTAATAAAATTTGATATATAATTAATTTGCATTTTATAAAGACTTAAAAAGAGTCTATGTATATTTTTTTTCCATTTTGCCACATTTTTTAATTAAAATAATCAAACAACAAAAAAATCCTCTTAAATATTTACTACACCCCCATGTATTTATTAGGCAGTGTATGGACTCCCTAATAAAATTGGTACAGTCACCTCAAAATTGACAAGAAGTCGTCTGCGCAGGTAAATATCTCTAAATATATTGATATATAACTGTCGATGGACTCCCTAAACTGCACACGTATTCTTGATTCCACCAATCACGTGTATTCAATACACGCACACATACACAATGTGTAAATCTCTTTCCCTAAAGTGACATAGACGCTGGCGCTACTCTAAACTCGGTGGCTTCGAGCGGAACTAACGTGGGCTATGAGAATCTTATTGGAATTTATATATCGCTCATATAATTAAAGAGGCGTATATATATATATATATATATATATATGCATCCATACTCCAATTATATATATATATATATATATATATATATCAAAATTGTCAAATTAATTATTGATTGTCAACAATAAAATCCTCCTAACTGTTTAAATATTCATATATTTATTAGACAGTGCATGGACTCCCTAATTAAATTGGTACAGTCAGCTTCAAATTGACAAGGAGTCGTCTGCGCTGGCAAATATCTCTAAATATACTGATATTTAACTGGCGATGGACTCCCTAAACTACACAAAAATTTTGAGTGAAATTTTGAATGAGAATCTTATAGGAACTTTTATATATTATAATTATTAATGGTTGCATATACATGGCGTTTCGAATCAAATTTATAAATGGTGTGCTATGAGAATCTTATAGGAATTTTATATTTGTATTTATTATATATATATTATTTGAAATGAATCAGAAATTTTAATTTGAAAATATTTAATTAAATTTATTAAATAAATATGTTACAAATATATTAAATAAAACATACTTTTCGATTTTATTCTTCGGTGCATATAAATAAAAAACACGGTTCACTGAAAAAAACATGTGTATACTTACATTACATATATATATATATATATATATATATATATATATATATATATATATAGTAATATAATTTTCACTTGTTCAAGTAAATGAAAGAAACTGATTTCAATTTAACAACATATTAAATATATTTGGTCCAGTGGAATCGTACATTATGATATACATAATTATGAGTAATTTCAATTAACAAATATTTACCTAATTATTTCATATAAAATTTATTAATACACATAAGTGATTAAATATTGATCATTCTTAAAAATACATTATGATATATTTAAATAAAATAACAATTAAAGGTATCACATTCTTAGAATTTTAAAATCATACACAATTTTCACAGTTTAAGTAGGGAAGCAATGATAGAAATATCAAAATTACCATCACATCCTTAGTTTTTATGTTTTGTAGACAATTTGTGCTAAAATCATAAATATACATCAGTGATGCTGTATTTCTTGTGTGCTAAATATCTAACCAGTTTAAAATTTTCAAACTTTGTACAAAATATTACTTTTGGTCAATTTTAATAAAATATCATCAATGCTTTGTAGCCAAATAGTAAATAGTAAAGCACAAGGTAAGGTCATAGGCAAGATAAGAGCAATATCCAGGATATGAAACAAACTATTCCATCGACATGGTAAATGATACTTATATTATAATAATATATATTTATTAAGTAAATGTTTGTTTCGATATCACACTAAAGGTAAAATTTAATGACTTAGATATAAATAATCGCAATTAGAAATATTATGAACTGGCGCACAAAGTATAAAAGACATTTAAACAGATATAAAGTCTGTAGTCACTTCCATGTCAAATGTTAAAATATAATAACTAAAATAAACACTTAACTATCATACAAGTCAAATGTTGAACCTAAATTATTTATTTTTTTCTTCAATAAAAATACATTCATATTATCTTTTCCTTTAACATATACACTTCCCCTCTCTTCGAATTCATACCTCTCTTGTAAAACAGACAGACAATGCTCTCCTATTTGAATTCTCCCATTTACACCCGTGGAGTCCATTCTGCTGGCAATATTAACGGCATCGCCCCAAATGTCGTAATACAATTTAGTGTTGCCAATAACACCAGCAGTTACTTCTCCAAAATTATACCCGATACGTAAAATTAAATTAAACTCTAAAAGATCTTTATTGAAACTGTCGATTACATTTTGCATTGCGATAGCAAAATCCATCAGAGCAAATAGATGCGCGTGAGGATTTTTATCCTCTTCCCTTTGTTGGGGATTTAGTCCGCTAGCAGCCATAAAAGTACTACCAATAGTTTTAATTTTTTCTACCGATTTAAATTCTGGCTTAGTGAGTAGTTCATCGAAATCGCCTATTAGTTCATTAAGAACTCTCAAATACTCTTTACCCCCTAAATACGACTCGTCGTACATTTCATTAAAATTTACTATACTGGCAAATATAATACCCACATTATCGTGATTTGCAGAATATTTAGCAGTGTTTTTTAATTGATCAGCTACATGTTGAGGTATAATATTATGCAGTAACCAATCAGCCTGATTTTTCATATTCTGGACTTTTGCTTTATCCTGATTTGCCACAACATTACCGTGAAAACTCAACCTGTAACTAATCTCAAATTCGCGGTTAAGAAACCAAACTAATATCAATAAAAGAATAACGTCAATATAAATTTCAACGTGATATAAGTTATGATTAATGTATAGTGGCAATTTTTTTATCATGTTTATTCTTTTATCGATGAGTTGCATGGTTTTATTAGTTTCCGACAGAGTACTTTCTTTTGAAGCAGGAATTTTACTAGTTAATACAGACAATGTATCCGTCTGCTTAGAGTTTATTTCACTATCAGTAATAGAGTTCGAACTGTTTAATAAATATATAGTAATATTATTCGTATTAGGATTAGGATTTGGGGATGTCAGTCTTTTTGGTTGCAACGTCGATAACGCTTTCAGAAAATTATATTGTACACTTATATTATGTGCGTTATCAATACGCATTTGTAAATTGTTTGTCTGGATTTTTACCGGGCAATTGAAAATGGCAATTCCTATAAAGGTAATAGCTCCAATTGTCAAAACTATGTTTTTCATCCAGCAGTTTAACTGTGTAAAATTACAAAAATGAACTATGCATATAAAAAATAAATAGCTAAAATAAAACTCGTTTATGTAAATCTGAGTGTGATCCATCAAAACAAAATTTGTGAGAACAGCGACCATTGGTAAGGACAATAAAACTGCTCCACAAAAATGCCATGGGTACCATCTGGAGAATACTTCGAAAACACTATCTGTGCAGATGTATCCTCGAGTGGTAACCTCTGGTTTGCAAATATTTCGAAAACATAAAAACAAAGCAAAAAACTGTAAACTGCTGAACATCATAAACATGCAAATCCACATCTTGTGTGGCATCTGGAGCAGGAATAACGATATTGATATTAATAGGTATATCACCGCTGATACCAAAACGTCTATGGGAGTGTTAAATTTAGAAGTCGCGAGTGTAGGAGGGTTTTCGTTTTCTTTTTCACCAATTTTATGAGCTCTAGCTCGGTATTCTCTCTCCATATCTTTATCTTTAAAAAATAAACTAATATTATACAATGGTGGCTTGACGAAGTAACTCCTTTGTGATTTCACGTTGTCTTGAACGCATCGAATTAATTGTAGATCAGACTGTTTCCTCAGAGTTTGTGCAGTGATGATATCATTTTCATGCTGGACAGAATTACGAACATCCACACTGGAAAGCGATGAAGTGTAATAGCCAGAAACCCGATGCTGCATGATGTCCGAGTGAGATAAGTTGTGCAGGTTCATGGCGTATATCTAAAAATAATAGTAAATAAATTTAATTGTTCACTTTTGAATCACAAAAATCTATTAGGTTATTTTTTAAAAATAATTATACTGATATTGGTCATAATAATAATTTAAATTGCAGAATATATTTTCCGTGTCTTTTCCTTATAAGAAATATAGCAAATATTGCTTAAGGAGCACAACTAGTGTGAAATTTTCAAAAAATCGAATTTTCAATTTTTCCATATTTCGATAGATTATACCTTTAAAAATAACATACCAAAATTTTAAATCGATATCTTAAATAGTTTTTGAGTCACGGCCATTTAAAGAGTATATATATAGTATATAGTAAAACGATCATTTTATCTTCAAACGCGTTTTTCTCGAAACAGCATTTTCCGAATTTGCTGCAGCGATTACTCAAAAACAAATGATCCGATCACTATCAATTTTTTTTACATGTTCTATATATAGTTCTCCGTGAAATGAACTATCGATTTTTTGATCGGATCAAAAATCGAATTTTGGCAGTCCAAAAACGACCGAAATTTTGGGTTAAATATGACTTTTTTTTTGAAAACGCCGTCATTTTGTCAATTTTTGATTTTGTTTTCTTTATCATAGTTCATTTTACAGACAATATTATCTAGTTTAACGCGATTTTTTTTTTAAATTTTATCCACGTAGAAGGCCGGAATCACTGCAGCAGTGAAAGGCGTTTTTTTGTCGCGCCGTTGGAGATCCACGATAACTTAAAAAATATTTATTTTTTTTCTTTAAAAATTTTACTATGTATTCTTAAAACATGTATAAATATATTCCTAAAATTTTGATGTGATTGATAAAGTAGTTGTTTTAATATAAATTCCCAAAAATCACCTTTTTTTAGGCGGTTACACTAGTTGTGCCCCTCAATAGTTTAATAACTGACCTGTTGTTGTATACTGGAACGCCTGCTATTACTTCTGATACCAGAATCCTTTCGGCTGCAAACAGAAGGACTAACGCTTCGCATTTCGTCTGTAGGAACCTTGAGCGCCCATGTCCCGTGCACATGATTTGCAACATTATTTTGGATATGGTTCATAGATATATTCAACGGTTGATCCACTGGTAACGGCACTGTGGCACTCGAAGCTCTTTCCAATGCTGCTACCTTTAATATAAAAATTCAAACTTTTATTTGCCCACCTTTTAATTAATTTATTATTAATTATTACCTCTGATTTACACCGCTGGTGCTTGTAGCTGCTAGCTCTCCCAAATGGCGTAACATCGCTACGAGATTCATTGATGTAAGATCGTATATCCAAGTTATTTTCGCGTGGTTTAACCAAATTGGTAAATTGGATTGTATCATCTGATGTCACCGTCTGAATTACTATGGGAACTTGTTGATATCCATTACTCGCCGTTGGTTTACGCAGAGATTCCGATTCTGATTTCGTATCGTTTAAATCCGGTTTTCTGAGGAATTTTAATATTTTCCAAGGGTTGCTCTGTTTATTTTTCCGGACAGTAGTCCTGTAAACTCTGTCAGCATCTTCCTCGTTATCTGAGTCTAAAATACTGGGTAAACTACTTGCTTTTGTTTTAAACGGATTTTCAGGGGCTTTGAGATGGGAGTCGCCAATTTTAGCAGTTGCATTGGCAGGTCTTAATAATCTAGGAGACGCTTGCGGTGAAATATTAGGTGAATGCCCAGCGCTTATGGGTTTTGTCGTAATTTTATGCATATTTGAAGAAATATTCATGGAATATCTTTTAGTTTTTGAGTCAGTTTTGTTGCACGAATTTTGGGAAATATTTCCTGCAGACACAGGTGAAATATTAGGAGAATTCGAAGGAAAGCTATAATTACTTTTCGAAACAAACGGCGTACTCAGTGTACAAGTATGTGAACTGGATAACTTATTATTTAAATCTCTTCCAAACCTATCGGCTAATGTTGGATTATTAAGTCCTTTATTAACAAAATCTATAGGCATTGAGTTTGGCGTAGATGGAGGCGATATTTTGACTTGAGTTGGTTCCAAAACTGCTGATTTGGTTTCTTCCCAATCGTGCTGAATGTAGTGGTTATCTCTTCGCCCCTTTATGAAGTAGGTCTTGTGACCTATAAATATAAGATAGTGAATGAATTTAATCGCTCATTGTGCAAATATTTTGTTGATATAACTTTTACTCACCGCAAACTTCGTCGCCTTCTTCTAGAAGATAAGAATTACCAAGAAATTCGCATGTTTTATCGGATACGTGAACTTGTTTAGGACGGCCGGTAGATTCCATTCTGCAATATAAAACGATATAATTGTTTTATGATCACTTGAGTCATTCAGAAAGTTATATAAACAAACTAGCAAACCCGACGAACTCCGTTTCGCCACCAGACGGTTTCTTGAGAAAGATGAAGAAATTTTTTGTTTGTTTCATATTTGAAAAGGAAAAATTTGATTTTATTATACAACAGTAATGAATTTATTTCAATTACAAAGATGAAGTGTTTTTTAGTTGAACTTCTCTAAGTAAATGAAAGTGAATCCGCAAATTATCCGTTTCATTGAAGTGCTCTTTGGTAAATTACATTTTTTATTTTTTGGTCTGACGTTAACACAAACAAAGCGGATGGTTTTACAACTCGTGAACAGGCAACGTATAAATGCCCACGTGAAAAACAATGATTTTCTAAATAATCTATTTGAAATTTATCCCGCAAACACTAAGCGATTGGCCTTGCGACTTGTTATTGCGAACGAAAGGTGAACTGGAAATTGCAATCGTTTGAAGTCAAACGGAAGACCAGTCAGAATCATTGGTATGTCACCAAATCGCCAGCAATTTTTGATTGAATGGTGAAATTCAGAGCGTGTACATCATTATTCTTTGCGGCAAGAATTGCTCGTTGACTTAACCAAGCATAATTCTGATAATTCTCATTAATGTCATTACTCGAATTTTTAATTACGGTGCGTGAAGTTCCAGCAATTTGCATTAGGGCACGATGCCATGCACAACTAATTTTCTTAGCTATAAACCTTGCGGAGCCCGACACCTTTCCAACGAATGCTAAATTGTCGAAATCGGTTCGTGCGTTCTGGAGTTAAATCGTCAGGCCGAAAAACCCGACTTATTTTTATATATATAGAATAGAAGATAAATATCAGATTCAAAAAATGTTAACTATGAAGCCAGCAGTTGTGATCATTATACAAATAGAATAGAGCAGGGCTCGGGATTAAAAGGTTCACTACATTTATCTCAATTTTTACCAATACTGTTGAGTAGAAATTTCTCAACAGAATTTACTTTCCATTTCTTCAACATACCTGTTGGCCAATGTGACATCATTACTCCAGACGTCGAATTTGAATCGCCTCGTGCCCACGATTCCGCAGAGTACGGTGCCCGTATGGACACCGACGCGCATGGTGACGCCCTCGTGCCTTTCAGCGTCGAACTCGGCCATCGCCACGATCATTCCGAGGCCCATTTCAACGCAGCAGACGGCGTGGTCGGGCCTCGGCTCGGGGCAGCCGGAGACGCAATAGTAACAGTCGCCTGGGGAAAAAGAAATTAGCTGTAAGTGGAATTCTGTCTTAAGGCAATTAAGGCATCGTGCCTTAAGGCAAATTGCTGGAACTTCCCGTACCAAAAATTATTATTTTTTTAAAAACGATTGACATTTTTAAAACAAATTTACTTCGAAAAAATAAGATTTTTGAGAAACTATAAATTAAACAAAAAATTACTTTTTTTTGAAAAAAAATTTTTTTCAAAAAAAAATCTAATTTTTTTTTTTTTTTTTTTAATTTTTTTTGGAAAAAATAATGTTTTCTTTATTTTGGCATATTTTGGAAGATCTTTTTTCAAAGCAATCGTACTGCTTTAACTGCATAGAGACAAAATGTCAAAGCGCGTAAGCGCCGCGTCGCCGTCTAACAAATAAATATTGGCACGGAACCCATAGGAATGCAAACAAAATTTATACTTATTGTTAAAATCTCTATAAAATATCTGATAATTTGATGTGCATATGTCTAATGATCATTTTTGACCGCCAAATGGCATTTTTTTTTACTTTTTTCGTTAGATCTCCGAAACCGCTAGACCTGCCCTCATGAAAATTTGATCAATTCTTCATCTTGTCAATACAAGTCAAATGTTTTTTGAATTATTGAAATCGGACGCTCCGTTCTCTTAAAAAACTGAGTTACCGTTTTCGGCACTTTTTGCCCCGTATCTTTAGAACGGCTGGACCTGCCTTCGCCAAAAACTAATCAGCACGTCTCCTTATCAATACGAATCGAATGTTTTTTGAATTATTCAAATCGGTTGATCCGTGTTCCCGAAATCGTCGACGAAAATTTGTATCCGCACATACATACACACACGTACATACATACATACATACACACACACATACACACACACACACACACACACACACATACATCCATTTTTTCTAAGGTATGCCAAAATGTTAAGAAACCTCTGAAACGTAATGATATATAAAAATTTTCATTTTCAATTTTTTTGCGATTACTATAACTTACCCTACGGGAAGTTAATTATTTGGTAATTTAGGGCGTTTGAATATTGCAATCCAAAAATCAAGCATTTGTTGAAAAGTTAAAGAGTTGGAAGTTAAGGAAACTAGTTGTGAGCAGCATGCTTTCTTAAGGGGTTACACCACTCTAGCAGTAAAAAAAAACGTATGTTTTTGCCATTTTTTTTTTCGCACGGAAGGAAAAGTATTAAAATCATGATATCAAAAATAGTTATTTATTGTACTTTAAAGTAACAAAATAAAATATAACTGTAAAAAAAAATTTAAAAATTGCTGTACCACAGCCATTTTGGCGAGCCGCGTCAAAATCCGCGGCACCCAAAATAACTACAACAATTTGAATTTTTTATTTCAATCTACTAACAATAATAAACTATAACATAAATTTAAATAAAAAAGAGTACAAAAAAGGATAGTATTTACCCCTTAACACATTTCATTTCATCCCTTTCGGATCTTAAAAATGTATTTTATTTGTGTGTGAACGTCAACTGTCAACAAAATCTTTACCATCTTTCGAGTAGTTTTTGAATTTTTAGAATCGGTTCAAAATTGTGGGCTAAAACGTGGCCGAAAATTTTACACTTTTTTGCTAATTAGAAAGAAACGGCTTAGCCAATCGTCGCATATATCTGACAAAAGATAGTCTTTGTCGAGTTAAATCGAGCGGCTTTAAAATTTTTGAAACCTGTCCAGCCATTTTTGTGAAAAAGTCGACAAAAGGTAAAAAATCAGCTCACATACACACACATATACTTTTTCCAAATTTCGTCTGAAAATTTTTACACTCTTCTACTAATTAGAAAGAAACGGCATAGCCGATCGACGCATATAGCTGACAAACGATAGCTTTTATCGAGTTATATCGAGTGGCTTTTAAATTTTTGAAACCGGTCCAGCTATTTTTGAAAATAAGTCGACGAAAGGTAAAAACTCAGCTTACATACTTTTTCCAAAATTCGTCTGATTTTGTCTGAAAAATTTTACACTTTAATTAGAAAGAAACGGCTTAGTCGATCGTCGCACATAGCTAACAAACGATAGTCTTTATCGAGTTAAAATTTTGAAATCGATCCATCCATTTATGAGAAAAAGTCGACGAAAGGTCGAAAATAAGCTCACATACACAAACACACATACTTTTTCGAAATTTCGTCTGATTCGATTCAGAACAACTTGAAAAGTCGAAAAAACATAAAAAGAGCAAATTGGATTTTTTTTGGCGAAAACACAAACTTCTTTTTCGTGAAGTTGAAAAGAATGAAATAATTAAACGTTGTAATGTGCATAACAACACACACACACAGATGTATATATATATATATATATATATATATATATGTGTGTATATACATATATAATAAATTTAGATATTGTTAAATCTTTATTATCAAGTGTTTAAACATATAGATCTAATGAATATTAAAGGTTGGTTTTTCACATTTTTTTATAAGTCCAATTAACACCTATGCAATCTAGTTTTTCACATATTTTCACATACCATATCCACATATATCTAATCGAGATATAATTTGCAAATAAAGATAAATGTTATTCTATATTGTCCTGTAAAAATATAATACACTTTACAAAAAATTGTTTGGTTGTGATATAATAATTGCAATTGTGATTGTGGTGTGTATAAAATAATATTAGGACATAAGATTAGATGTCGAAACGTTTTGTAAAATAAAGATTCTTAAAAAATATTGATTTAATTTTGTGTAATATCTTTCAAAATTAATAAACAAAATATAAAGAAATTATTTAAATGTAAATTACAACAATAATTCATGCAAAATGTAAAATATCATTTAATCATCTTAAAGATTATAATTTGCTCATGAAAAGAACAATTTAATTTTACACAATAAGTGCTCTCAAACTTGTGCTCATTAATTAGTCTGGTTCATTTAAGAATCCTTTCTCAGACGTAATTATCTTAATCGGAAAATACTTCATCGTCTTGCTTTACTCGACAAATATTACATGAAACGTGAAAGCAATTATGTGAATTGAAATACAGAAGCAATAATAATAGAATACATTGCTTGTAGGGCATCTGCTTAAAAGAAGCCGTTATTAATTGATTCGAGAAGATTCAATATAAATAACAAGTTATTTGTAGTTAATGAGTGTGATGAAAGTGTGAGCGAAAGTTTAAAATTGAGAATTTATGAATAATTTAAAAAAAATGTAAACAAGCCATTAATTCGATTAGCAAAAATTATAGAAAAACATGAGTATAACAAAACGCGAAGATAAGATTATACAACAATGTATAGGTACGTTAACGAAAGCTCATTTTGAAACATTATCCCACCCACTAAGATTTTTTATTAAAATATCCATCATATCAAATATTCTGTTTAAGACGTACATATATCAATTCACGATTGATATCATCAAGACGTTGCTTTTGGCATCTGACATCCTATATAATCGTTTCCATGTTCTGTAAATAGATTACAATTGTGATAGATAGTTCGATCTCAAAACTATATGCCATATGATACATTCAAAATTTATTCGGAAGATTTGGCAACTATCGTCAGAAACCATCTGGATTTAATTTAAACTTGAAAGCAGTTGAAAGGACAATGAAAATATTCTATTCAAATGTTTGACTAGGGATAAAAAAATATTCAATATCGTGATTGTTTTTCTATTATTATATTATTATTGCAATTTTGATGAATTTGTGTTGTTAATAATGAATGAAAGCAAATTAATTACACCAACCGCCATCAAATATCTATGTAAATGAGCAAACATACAATAATCTCAAATTACAAATATTGCAAGACAAGGTCAATTAACATTTATGGCAAAGGTTACTGAACATATCAAATATCAGACGTTAACTAAAATCTTTAATGATAATAATCTTTACGATATCGTTTTTGTTGTTACTTTTTATAATTATAATTAGCAATCAATAAATAATTAATACAAATACATATATACTTATATACTTATTATAAACACACAAGTGTGTTATAATTACGCAAGATATTAGTACCTACTACATAACACGTTAATCGCCACGATAATATCAGAAAAATTTCTTCAAAAACCATGGTAACTTTATTAGATTATTTAGTTAAAAATATATAAAGAACTAGTGGGGCGCATGGCATCGTGCCTTAAGGCAAATTGCTGGAACTTCCCGTACCAATTTTTTTTTTTTTTAAATTAATATTTTTGAAAAAAATTTACTCTGAAAAATTAGATTTTTGAGAAAATATAAATTTTTGACAAAAAATTTTTTTAAAAAAAAATAAATTTTTGGAAATTCTGAACTTTATTTCAAAGCAATCGTACAGCTTTAACTTTATAGAGACGAAATATCGAAGCGCGTAAGCGACGCGCCCCCGTCTAACGGATAAGCATTGACACGGAACCCATAGGAATGTAAACAAAATTTATACTTATTGTTAAAATGTCTATAAAATATCTGATAATTTGACGTGCATATGTCTAATGATAATTTTTAACCCCCAGATGGCATTTTTTTTACTTTTTTCATTATATCTCCGAAACCGCTAGACCTGCCTTCATGAAAATTTGATCAATTCTTCATCTTGTCAATACAAGTAAAATGTTTTTTGGATTATTAAAATCGGACGGTCCGTTCTCTTAAAGCCTGAGTTACCGTTTTCGGCACCTTTTGCCCCGTATCTTCAGAACGGCTAGACCTGCCGTCGCCAAAAACTAATCAGCACGTCTCCTTATCAATACGAATCGAATCTTTTTTAAGTTATTCAAATCGGTTGATCCGAGTTCCCGAAATCGTCGACGAAACTTTGCATTCGAACATACATACATACACGCACACACATATACACACACATCCATTTTTTCTAAGGTATGCCATAATGTTCAGAATTTTCATTTTCGATTTTTTGCGATTACTATAACTTGCCCGACGGGAAGTTAAAAATATATAAAGAAAAATAATTGTCCAAATTCCCGAACAATAATATTTATATGACTGACATAGCCTTATATTAACACTCTTTTTTCTATACAAACAAGCCAAGATACACATATATATGACATGGCTGACATGGATTCTGCAAAATATCTTGGTGTCAGACACATATGACTGACATGGCGATTAACGTGTTATAGATTCTTATATATAAGACTATACATATATAATAAATCAATTTCTAACTTACCCAAAGTGGAAATCTTTTCGCAGCCATTATCGGTGCAGAGCGTATCGAATTTCTCGAATAAATCGTTAAGTAATCCGACAAGTTGTTCAGCGCTCTTATTACTGCTCATTTTCGTAAAACCCACTATATCAGCGAAGAGTATGCTCACATTTTCCATGCAATTCATATTGAAAGGACGAAAAAGTCGTTTAAGATCCGATGGGTTCGAAGTCCTCGGACGCATGTTAGCATAAACCATCTGATCATTATCAATATTCCTTTCATTCATCAACCAATCGGCCACCTTTGGAGGCATCACAGAATGTATCATCTTCTCCTTAAGCTGTTTTTCCCATTCCAGTTGCTGTCGAACCAGAAGGCTTTGACCGACCTTCATAAAAGTCCCTCGCATCCGAACCAATGTCATTGTGAGTATGTGCAGACCCAAAATGTGAATGCATAACTGCATTAGTATGCGAATGAAAACTGATGTTAATTTATGTGATTCAGCATCGTTATGAAGATTAACAACAACTATTTCAAAAACAATCGAATAAAGCACGCATATTGTTATCGAAATGTACAGCGGTAGAGGTATTACTGTGTAAATAACCAGAAGTATCTCGACGCATATCGCAAAATGTCCAACTGAGCTCAATGCAAATTTTTCTGTCTGGCCCACCAGGACTGAGCTAATGGATAACAGACAAAGGCTGACCGAGCACAAAATAAAAGCGACGCTGAATGATATTTTTATACATATGGGTGCGGTATAGATCATGGTATGTCAGCCATAAAGTACTGCCTATGAAGAGAATCAGCAAGGCCAGGATGACGCAAAAGAAGCCCCAGTGTTGTACATTTCCTGAGAGACCGCTGGACAAGAAGTAGAAGAACCACATGATTGTGCAGAGCAGAATGTAAAGCAGCGCACATCTGAAATAGGAAAAAACATAAAAATAAATAATAGTCATAATCAGATATAAAATTTAATGAAATTAGAATATTATTAAAAATGTGAAAATTTGTCATCGAAAATTATGATTTTTAACTTCCCGTAGGGTAGTTATAGTAATGGTCCGAAAATCAAAAATGAAAATTTTTGCATTTCTCGACCTTTTGAAGGTTTCTGAACATTTTGGAATACCTAAGAAAAAATGGATTTGTGTGTGTGTGCGTGTGTATGTTTTGTATGTCAGCATTTTTCGTCCTCGTTTTCGGGCGCACGGATCAACCGATTTGAATGTTTTAAAAAACGTTCGATTCCTATTAATAGGGAGATGTGCTGATTAGTTTTTGGCAAAGGTAGGTATAGCCGTTACGGAGATATGGAGCAAAGAGTGCAGAAAATAGCAATCGAGTTTTTGAGAGAACGGATCATCGTTCATCGATCATCGATCAACGATTTGTATGATTCAAAAAACATTCAGTTCGTAATGACCGGGAAAAGTGGTTAGAGGTTTTTGGCAAAGGTAGGCCAAGCGGTTTCGCAAATACAGAGCTAAAAGTAAAAAAATGGCAGTTTTTGAGAGAACTAAGCGTCCGATTTAAATGATTCAAAAAACTTTCTGCTTGTTTCAATAAAATAATTGCTTTTTGAAAAAAAAATTTGTTTCTAATTTTTTTTTTTCAAAAAATATTTTTGTAATTTTGGATTAAAAATTCAAAAAATTACCCAGGCTAAGAACAGTCTAAGCGCCACTCTGGTACAAATGTTTACCCAAGTGCGTTTAGACTGTTTATGTACTGGAGCACTTTTACAATTTTGTGAAAATGTCGCACAGAATTATTTGCAAATGCGTTTAGACTGTGACTATACGCGAGCACTTTTTCAATTTTGGGTAAATTAGGCAACTATTTTTTTGAAATTGAATTCGAAATGAAATGACGATTGTTAATGTTCTGGAGAAAAATTGATTTATGATTTACATTTGATTTGCTCAGATATAACAAGATAACAAAAGTAATGAAAGTTACAGTATTTGTAATAATATATTTGAAAACGTTTAAAATTTCTCGAATATTTCATTACGGTACGGGAAGTTCCAGCAATTTGCCTTAAGGCACGATGCCATACACCACTAGTTATTTTTTTTAAATGATTTCGTTTTTTTTGGATAATAATATTGATCCAAATATGACATATCATTAGTATTGAAAAATATTGTTTATATATAAATAAAAAAGGCAATTTCTATCAGCTAGTTCATGGATACTTTTTCAATTAAAAAAAAAGTTTGTAAACAACATTCAATATTTTATCATCGAGTCTATGACTATACTGACAATAACCATAAGAGACTAGAAGACCTATAGGTGTATAAAGATAGCAATTACTTCGTTGAAATATAATTAAATTCAAGCACTTTACTTGGCAAGAACTCAGCTGAGTGTTTTCAATTTTGCCTTTCGCCTATCATATACAAACACTCCGTGCCAGTGAAGTTCTTTGTACAATGCACTATTTATACAAAACAAAAGCTTTCGATTTAATTAATAATTGATTTATGTGAATAACAGAAATGATTTAGGTAATTTATAACTAGACAATGATAATATAATAGATACAAAAATTGTTGTTTTTAAACCTATTTTTATTAATTAATTAATTAATTTATTTATTTATTTATTCAAGAGGACTCAAAAATACAGTTATTTTATATAATGAATAACAATTAAAATATATACAAAATTACAATATATATACATTTTAGTTAGTAACATAAAATGCTTAAGATAAAATTACATATAATGCAGAATGTAACAATAATATTTATAAACAGAATAAGATAAAATAATGAGATTTTTGAAAAGAAAATAAAAAGGTTAACTTGTGCAGATGGAGATTATATGATTAGGTGAAGTGTTGTGAATATCTATTTCATTATTAATTAAGTTAAAGTTAGAGGGCATAAGTAAAATTGGCGAATTTAAGAGAGAATTAGATTTAGGAGTAGGATAATTGAAAAATAATTGTGAACGCGTAGATAGCCTTGGAACATTAAAGGATAATTGCTTAAGAATATGAGGACAGTCAATAGAATTATTGCAAAGTTTAAATAAGAACATAATTGTACAGATAAATCGACGTGAGGCGAAGGAAAGGATTACCAAATTCTTTTAGTAAAGTGTTGTGATCAAAGCCACGTTCAGGGTAAATTTAATGTTTTATAATAAAGGTATTTCAGAAATTTTCGCTGAACCTTCTCTATCGCATCAGAGTTGTTGATTTGATGAGGATACCAAATAATCGAACCATATTCTAATTTTGAACGTACAATAGAATAGTACATGCAAAGAAGTGCATTGGTAGATTTAAATTGTTTACAATTTCTAAGTATCAAACCTAAAGATTTATGTGCTCTATTACAAATATCAGTTATATGATCCGTGAAAAACAAACCAGAATCAAATAGAACTCCTAAATCTGAAATTTTATTACATCTATCAATGCTAGTGTTAGAAATTTTATAATCAAAAAGTATTTTCATTATAATATAGCAAAAATCAGAACTTAATGAGCCCTTCAATGTAGCAATATTTCAAGTCTTTTCAATTAGCGTGCTTTTATTGATGACAACCAAGTCCTGTCTGTATATGATGAATTTATTATTATAATTTTTTTAATACTGATGATTTTTTCATTGGTGCAGTATTGTCTGTGTATCTACTATTTTATAGTCAATATAGTCAATATTGCAATCTGTACTTATTTTTCTTGTATAAAGCAGTAAATTGCAGACTAAAGTCATATTTGAAATCTGCCATTACTCCTTGATATCACATCAGGCCTCGACAAAAGCAGAAAAGGTGTCGAACTAGGAAATTCTTATTCAAAATCCCAAACCTCTGACCACTAATGAGCCCACAAGTACTGTAGAAAATGTTTATAAATAAAAGATCAATTATGATAATATTCTCGCCTCTGTATTGAACGATTATAAAAAACTATGTATCTTCTCTCATGGCTGATAGAAAGTAGACATTGCTAAGAATATCGCATTCATTGTGATGAGAGGAATCGTTTAAATCGAAAAATTAACTCAAGGTCATTTTGCGATACCGCTCAAGGCCTTTATGATGCTTTTGATACGTTTGTTTATATTATTACTTCCTCAATTAAATTCAATTGGATTTGTTCAATACCGGCTGATTACATGAGGCCAACGGCCTATTTGTGCGCTTTTTCGACTCGCTAATTATCATATGCAAATTGGTTGCAGAGACGACATACTTACGGTAATTTGAAAATATTTTAAATTGTATCTCGCAATTGCATTTTATCTCACAGTTAAGTGAGATGCTATTGTTAAAGCTTACAATTTCATTGTACGTTTTTATTGAATAAAAATGAACTTCAATGTAAAAGAAGAAATTAAA